TCCAAGTGGGAACCAGTGACGAGTAGCATTCCTCAGGGGTTAGCATTGGGACCAGTGCCATTTAACATATTTGTTGGCAACACGAACAGTGGGATTGAGTGCACCCTCAGCAAGTTCATCAGTGACACTAAGCTGTGTGGCAAAGTTGAACTGCTGGATGCCATCCAGAGGGACTTTGACAGGCTTGAGAGGTGGGCCCATGCCAATGAAGTTCAACAGAGCAAAGTGAAAGGTCCTGCACCTGCGTCACAGCAATCCCAAGCATACATATAGGCTGAATGGAGAATGGATTGAGAATAGCCCTGAGGAGAAGGACTCGGGAGTGTTGGCTGATGAGAAGCTCAAGATGAGCTAGCAATGTCTGCTTGCAGCCATATCGTGGGCAGCATCAAAAGAAGTGTGGCCAGCAGGTTTAGGGAAGAGATTTTTCCCCTCTGCTCTGCTCTGGTGAGGCCCCACAGTGTCCAGATCTGGAGTCCTCAGCACAAGAAGGATGTGAACCTGTTGGAGTGGGTCCAGAGGAAGGCCACAAAGATGATCAGAGGGTTAGAGCACCTCTCCTATGAGAACAGGCAGAGAGTTGGGGTTGTTCAGCCTGAAGAGAAGGCTCCAGGGAGACTGTACAGTGGCCTTCCAGTGTCTGAAGGGGGCCTACATGAAAGCTAGACAGACTTTTTACAAAGGCATATAATCATAGGACGAGGGGTAATGGCTTCAAACTGAAATAGGGTAGATGTAGATTAGAATTTTCACTATGAGGATGGTGAGGCACCAGAACAGGTTACCCAGAGAAGTTGTGGATGTCCCATCCCTGGAAGTGTTCAAGGTCAGGTTGGGCTGGGCTTTGAGTAGGCTGGTCTAGTGGGAGGTGTCCCTTCTCATGGCAGCGGAGTTGGAACTAGATGATCTTTAAGGTCCCTTCCAAGCCAAACCATTCTATGATTCTATGACATTCAGGTAGACCTTTTTCTTTTTCATAATACATGCAATGTTTGGAATAATAAGTTTACTGTTGCTCCAAGTCCTGTAAACACAAGGTGTTGATTTTTTAGAGCATTCTAAAATGTGGAATTACTTAATTTATGTCATATGATTTACATCTAAGAATTAGGTGTCAGTGTTTCACCTGTAATCTTTTTTCTTCAAAGAAATAAAATTGACTCTATCAACTACACAATCACAAGCAAAAATCTGGGAGCCTGACAGGCAGAAGACACTTACTTTTCATGGTGCACCACTGTTCCTCACCAACTTGGCATCAGTACATTTCCATACAGCTGCCACAGGGGGACCTGAGGTAAGGATCCCTAAGATTTACATTTAAACAGGAGTTTGGATGTCAGGAGACAGTTATTCTTAGGTCCTCCTAATGAGGTCATGAAGAATTTTATTTTCAAACATAGTACTTCTAAGTTATAAGTCTAATATTCCAGAATTATAACTGTGAAGAATCTGATGTTTTCTGGACTGTGTTATCTTTGTACTTATTAATACAAATATTCAGCTACTGGTGTCTAAAGTTAGGCACTTAAAATCCATATTCAGTTATGTAAGGCTGCAGGATGCCAAGTACTGGAAGATCTGTAGATATTTGCTATCATCCTGAAAAATTGGTTTATTCATTTAGAAGATTACTTTAATATTTGGGTTTCATCCCTGCCACCTAGTATTTCACAAATCACATTTTAACACATATTTTAAAATATTTTTAAGGTTCATTTAAGGTGGTGTCTCCCTTTGAATACGTACCCAGTTCTCCTGACAAGATGAAACAGTTGTTCAGTAGATTTTGTCATTTAGTTCACTGGAACTGGGATTTCATTTCAAGGTTTGGCTTGACAGAAGCAGGGATAACATCCTAAAAGTGCACCTAGCACTTAAAAATTGTACAACAATCTGGAGAACTCAGATCTGGTTTATTTATTCAGTGATGACCAAGGAGACAGCCATAGCAATCTTTCCATATCCCTCTTATAATGCACAGGGACTTTATTTTTTTTAAGTAGTAGTAAATAGCAGTCCTAACCAATGGAATATTACTTCATAGTGCTAAACACCAGTTCACGTGCTATGTATTGTGTTTTCCCTATTCTACTCTAAACTGTTATGAAAACAAACAAACCCAAAACATTTGTTGCTGTGCTATGTATAGCTTAGCTCAGAGTCCTTTCCTCTTTTTCATTATTTGTATCTGGAACTGGGAAGTTTTTCTTGAAGCAGTATTGTTTCTCCCTTGGAAAAAAAAAAAAAGGCAAGAGAAGATGAAGTATTTAGAAGCCTCATGTCTTACAGAGTACCCCTACTTACAAATATGCTATAATCAGCACACTTGTCATTTCATGTAAAAAGAACAAAATGATGGTGGAATTCAATCACTGCTAAGAAAGCAGGAATAGGGCTTACAAGAATGCTTACATCTGTCCCTAATTTGCTTGCACATAAACCCACGATAATCTGCTTTATTGCCAAAGTCATATAAAGACTTTGGGAACCAAGCCGCATAGGTAATCTTGAACTGGAGGCCCTCCAGCCTAATTAGACACAAATGCCCAGAAGGCCTGAGACTGAAATATGGCATGTAGATTTTGAAATGTATGAAGAGACTGAACAGACTCATTAGCAGCAGTCCGAGTATACGTTTAAGCCTCTGAAGTTCCTTTTTTTGACTGAGGGAAGGAGTAAGCCATGTCTATGCCTGAGGCTAAGTACAAGAAAAAGCCTTCTGCTCCTTCTAGAATGGCCCCGATCTCCCAGCTCCTGCTCCAGCATGCTCCAAAGATGTCCCCACAGACAGCAAGCTGATTTAATATCAATAATGCTGGGAAAGCCAAAACATTATAAGTCATTGAAAAATAAGACAAAGAAGAAATTCTGTGGAGAGTTTAAAGAGATATTGGTTCATTATTCATTATTTAGTACATACATTTCTTAAGTTAGTCAGTCATGGAGTTTTGCCAGACGCCATAAAAAGTGATAATTTCCCTTATTTCAAACCTCTGAACGTTTTTTATTTTTCTGGCATCAAACAACTATTGTTGGCTACTTTCTGATTACAAGCTTGTCTCTCTCTGATTACAAGCATGCATCTACTTTGTAGCACCATGCAAAATTATGAGGGAATTAAAGAGACAGAGGAGAAGTTCATTACAATTTTAAGGCAGAACGGCTGTGTCGAAAAAGGCTATGCATGACATAAAACTGACCTCCATGTTGCAGATTTCAGGCACACTGGGGGACTGTCTATTTTTGGTAACATAACAACTACACTTAACTAACCAGAGGGTGTGATAGAAATGTTTTTATCAAGTTATCTCCCTCTAAGTTATTTGGGAGAACAATGAAAAGCAACGCATTATTTCCTTTTCGAATTGAGTTTTTACATTATCAGGAAATATCAGAGTGGCCACAGAATTACAAACAACTTCTGGTTTTAATAATACAAAGGGAGCTTTGTGCCTCTTTTCTTTTTCTGCAAACACAACACAAAGGAAACACAGGGACACAGCAGAGTCCAGAAATCTTGTGTGCAATAAAAAGGTGTGGATAAAGCCTTCTGATAATTGACATTCAAGGTCAATTTGTATCTTTGTCTGTGATGCCGTGGCCTATTTGCTATTGTTGTACTAGTGCCTGAGGTCACCAATCAGCTCCATTTTCTTGGTAAGTTCTGTGGGAAGATAATATTTGACATTTAACTTCAGCAGCAAGCACTACTGAAGCATTACTGTTACAAAACAAAAAGGCAAATTTTAATTTAATTTTTTTAAAGACCTTTTATTGAAGATTTTTTTAAGTTTTTAGTTTTTGTAAAGGTTTGGGGCTTGCTTTTTTGAAGGAAAGACATCCATTAATGATTCTCTGTTGCCCTTCCCCGTGCTTTAGGTTTGAGGTTCAGGGAAAGAAGAAAATAAAGCGGTAGGAAAGGAAAGGAGCTTCTTGGTCACAAAATGGCAAGCCTTACAGTACTGCCCATCTCTGCCTGACCCCATCCAGCAGTGAACATGGGAGGTGACGCGTGGCACTGAGGGGCCATTTCCTCACTTGCATCCCCCGGGTGTGACCGAGGCATCCCCTCTGGTAGGGGGACCCGCAACCCGCCGAGGGAACAGAGCTTTGGACCGCAGGCACGTCTGTCTACGGGGGCACACGCGCAGACAGACATGAGCTCACCGCACACGCGGGAGCCAGCTCCCGTCCAGGAGCCACACAGCCTCAGGACAGCAAACCCGTGCCCAACCTGATCTGTTTAGTGCCCGGCAGAAGCAGCTGAGATTAACAGGGAAGGCATCCACGCGTATGTGCCCAGGACAGCAGAAAGAAAGCCTGGCAGGCCCTAAGAGGGAGAAGGCAGACTAGGCACCCCAGTGGGCCGGGTGCTGAGCGCTCCTCTGAGGGGAAAAGGCACCAGTGAGGCCGGTGACCCGCCAGCCTTCACCGAGGATCAGGAAGGAAATTAAGTGGGAAGGCAGCAAGCTTTTGCTGGCTGAAGCGCACGCTGGGGGAGAATCCACCTGACATAGCCCAGCCAAAAGCAAAGGGGGCTCAGGGGGGACAGGCCTGGCAGTGGGGGAGGCAGCGGACACACGCTGTGCCTTGCCAGAAAAAGCCACACAGGTGCCCAGGGAGGCCGGCATCGAAGCCAAGCGGGGCGATGGAGGCTGGGAGGGGAGAAGCCCCCAGCTGGGAAAAGTGGGGGGCATCGAAGGGAAAAGCCTGTGGGCCCCGGCCCCGGGGAAACGGGGCCCTTCTCCAGGCTGAGGAGCTGCACCCTACCCCGCGAGCGCTCGGGGAGGTGAAGCGTGCCTCGGCCGCGGAAAGCCCCCGTTCCCGACCCCGAGCGCTGCCCCAGCTCCCCTCCACCCCCCCGGCCCCGCCACCGGCAGGGCCCCCTTA